CTTAAGAGATTAATTTTACTTCAAATTGCGTGGCTTATTGAGGAGAGGTGTGCTTTTTTCACTGAATAAAACAGATTTACAAAACAGAGGAGGGACCTTAAATATTTAGACTAGATACCAAAGTATAATAGACTTTTTGCTTGCCAACCATCTAGTAATGCTCTAGTAACTATCCAGATCACCTGAGTAACCCAAAATTACACCCAAGTGTGTGTGTGTTTAATGTTAATATTAATGTTAAATTCTATTGAAGTAATGAATCTGTTTTTGTGTGCATGTTTTCTATAGTGATAGACTGTGGGTCTCCTCCATCAGTCCTCCAAGCTGAGCAGCTCTCCGCCACGATCACACACTTCAACAGTGAACTCCAGTACAGCTGCAGGGAGGGATTTCAGTGGAAGGGAGGACAGAATTCTTCAGTCTGTGGTCTGGATGGAGAGTGGCACGGACCCAGTCTGGTCTGCGAAGGTAAAGTTTACGTTTGTGCTAATCAGTCTGCCAGATCTTGAATTAAGTGCAATGCACTAAAGTCAACATGAAATGATATTCACCACTCATTTTGTTTCCATAATGTGATTTCAACATGCACACACACAAATGCAGGGCTGGGTTTGACCCCTTTAGTTGAGACTGCACATTCATTGCACATTTTTACTGTCACCTGCCTGACAAATTGTAATCAATTTTACGTAGAAGTGGACTGTGGGGAGCCTCACGTTTTTCCTCAGTCAAAAACGGTTTGGAATAACATCTCACGCATGGGATCATTGGCGCTGTATGTGTGTGAGCCAAATTTTTATAACAGTGGGCGTGAGAATGTATCGGTATGTACTGCTCGTGGGACATGGAGCCGTCCTGACTTCCAATGTGAAGGTATCTGCTTCTGTTTATTATGCCCACAGAAATATGATGCTGATTCTGCAACGAATCTGTTGAGATTGTGTCTGTGTGTGTTTAGAGATACAGTGCGGTTCTCCTCCGGTCCTGCCTCATTCAGTGTTGTTCTGGAACGGTGTCAGTAAGATTGGTTCTGTGGCTCTGTATGACTGTGATGTTGGATATCGCAGTTTGGATACAGGAAATATGTCTGTGTGTGAAAGTGACGGTCAGTGGAGTAACCCAGACTATTCTTGTGAAGGTACAGAGAATCTTGTCACATTTTTTAATGTCTGAAGAAAGTTTTAAAGGAATAGTTCGCCAAAAAAATGAAAATGCTGTTATCTTTTTATTTACCTTGGTGCCATTCCAAACCTGTAATTGTGTCCAATTTTTTTAATGACTGAAGAAAGTTTTAAAGTTATAATTCACAAAAAATGAAAATGCTGTCATCATTTATTCACCGCTGTGTCATTCCAAACCCGTGTGAATTTCTTCCCTACACTCTTAAATATAAAGTTTTCAAGAGAGAGGCTTTCACAGCGATGCCTCAGAAGAACCATTTTTGGTTCCCCAAAGAACCTTTTAGTGAACAGTTCTTAAAAGAACCTTTTCTTCTTGATGTAAATAACATTTTAATAATCTAAAGAACCTTTTTTCCACCATAAAGGGATGTTAAAGGTTCTTCGTTAAACCATTGATGGCAATAAATAACCTTAATTTGAGGAAGTCTTGGCCTAATGGTTAGAGAGTCTGACTCGTAACCCAAAGGTTGCGGGTTTGAGTCTCGTACCGGCAGGAATTGGAGGTGGGGGGAGTGAATGTACAGCGCTCTCTTCCACCTTCAATACCACGACTGAGGTGCCCTTGAGCAAGGCACCGAACCCCCAACTGCTCCCCGGGCGCCACAGCAAAAAAATGGCTGCCCACTGCTCCGGGTGTGTGTTCACGGTGTGTGTGTGTTCACTGCTGTGTGTGTGCACTTTGGATGGGATAAATACAGAGCACTAATTCCGATTATGGGTCACCATACTTGGCCACATGTCACGTCATTAATTTTTAAGACTGTAGAACTCAAAATAAGTTATTTTTCAAAATATCCTCACTGTTCTTGTCCATACAATGAAAGTGAATGACTGTCAAGCTAAAAAAATGACAAAATGCACCAAACAATTATCATAAAAGTAGTCCTTAAAACTCTATATTCCAAATGTTCTAAAGACACGATTCTGCAAATCTTAATCGTTTGAGATTAAGAATTCTTAAGATTTGTATTAATTTAGCATTACATCACTTACTTACAAATGGATCTTATGCAGTGAATGGGTGCCATCAGAATGAGAGTCCAAACAGTACAATTAAGGCCAAAACATATGTTGCCATGACTTGAGTATATTCAGAAAAGTCCTGAAGCTGGTTGCCTCAAGTCTTTGAGCTTTCTCAACTTCTGATTTTTCCCAGTGCATAATTTCCACCCTAAGCAATGTAAATCCTCTTTATACTGCAGTGATTCAGTCGTAACTATTGACATGTCATTTCCTTCTCAACAGAGATTGTGTGTGGGGAGCCGACTATACTGCCCCTCACTGTACAAATATGGAATGGCAGAGTCACATTTAACAGCACTGTAACATATCACTGCAAACACGGTTACTATGCTAAACAAGGACTTAATATATCTGTGTGCGCTGAGAACGGTTACTGGACAAAACCAACTCTGTTGTGCGAAGGTAATTGTTTACATATTTTTTTAAACTCAGTTAACTTTTTATTTTTTAAATAAATTAACTGACTTTGTATGTACTGTGTAAACTGAAGACATTTTCAAGGTTTTTGTTGTTTCTTAAGAGGTGAACTGTGGAGTACCGCCCTCTCTCCCCCTCTCTGTTATGATATGGAGAGGAGACACTAAAGTTGGATCTAGTGTGTCTTATAAGTGCATTGAGGGATTTCATAATGTTAGGGAAGGAGATACGTCAGTTTGCGATTCAGAGGGAATCTGGAGTCATCCAGATTTTCTGTGTCAAGGTATATTTTTATGCTTTTTTATTTTGTAAATGGGTCATTCTCATGAAACTGCCATTTTAGTTCAATTTTAATTCAGTTTAGTTCAATAGTTCAATAACAGTGAATGTTAAAAGCTTTTTAGTTATGAAACAAATTCAGTTCAACTATAAAGCTGCTCTACAGAAGATAATAGTGTGATTATTCAGCTCAACAGGTTTTTTTTTTTTAATGGCTTCATGCATTTTCAGCAAAAATGCAAATTTTTTCAAATGAGAGGATTTGTCCCATCATGCTGTGATTTTTTTTTTTTTTTTTTGGCTTCTAATATTACAGGTGTATCCTTTCTGACAACAAATGAATCGTTCACACAATAATTTAAATTTGCTGAAAATGTACTCACCTGTAGGACATCCAAGATGTAGATTAGTCTGTTTCATCACCAGAACAGATTTGGAGAAATGTAGCATTACATCACATGCTCACCAATGGATCCTCTGCTGTGAATGGGCGCCGTCAGAATGAGAGTCCAAACAGCTGATAAAAACATCACAGTAATCCATGACTCTAATCCATCATTTATTGTCCGGTGAGGAAAAAAGCTGCATGTTTGAAATAAATAAATTCAGCATTAAGATGTTAGCTTTAAACCATCACTTTCTGGCCAAAATACAAGTCCATAATTCATAATAATGTTTCCTGCAGTGAAAAGGTCTATCCCCTGTTGTGCACTCACATCAAAATCCACCAACATATTTTGTTTTGGTTTGTTGTGGTAAGAAGTCCTTGATCTGTGCATATTTCTATCTTGATTCAGATGAGATGACTTTTTCACTGGAGAACGCAATATTATGGATTATGAAAGCAATGATTATTCTTTTTTATTACAAAACACATAGTTTTTCGCTTGACAAGACCATAATTGATGGACTGGAGTGGTGTGGATTATTGTGATGTTTTTATCAGCTGTTTGGACTCTCATTCTGATGGCACCCATTCACTGCAGAGCATCCATTGGTGAGCAAGTGATGTAATGCTACATTTCTCCAAATCTGTTCAGATGAAGAAGCAACGTGAATACATTTTCAGCATATTTACATTTTTGGTCTAACTGCTCCTTTAACGTAGACTGACCATTTCCTGAGAATGACCCATGTGCTATTTCATTGCTGTTCTCTTTAATAAGCTGATAATATGTATGCACATGTACAGTGTGTCTGTATGTGTGTTTGTTTAGAAGTAGACTGTGGCGTCCCCGTCTCACTACCTCACTCAGTTGTGTTGTGGAATAACAGCTCCAGTCTGGGCTCTGTGGCCCTCTATGTGTGTGAAGCTGGATATCGCACTGTGGGTGAAGGGAATGTGTCATTGTGTAACTCAGATGCAAAGTGGAGCAAAGTTAACATGAGATGTGAAGGTACTGACAACATTCTGTCATCATTTACTCACCTTCACGTCATTCAAAATTATGACTTGGTTTTTTTTTTTTTTTGTGGAAAGCAACATATAAGCTGTTTTACACTTTAAGGTCATCATACATAGTTTCAGGAAATAAAGAGTATGCAGTGGTCTTTATTTCTAATGCTTTACACTGGTCCCTTTGAACAGAGATAAACTGTGGGCCTCCCCCAGAATTCCCACTAACAGATATACACTGGAACAAAGCATCTACACTGGGCAGTGTGGTTCAGTACAAATGTAAATATAGACTCATACAGGAGAGTGACAAAAACATGACAACATGTACATCAGAAGGAACATGGGAAAAAGTGTCTGTAACATGTACAGGTAAACTGAACCGAATTCCTGCTATAATGATGTACACTATGTTCAAAAGTCGGTAAGATTGTTTTAAAGACTTTTTAAATAAATTAATACTTTTATTTAGCATGGATGCATTAAATTGATAAAAAAGTGAAACAAAAGACATTGATAATATAACAAAAGTTTTCTATTTCAAATAAATGCGTTCAAACAAATGGTTATTTTGAATAGTTTCCACAAAAGTATGATGCAGCACAACTGTTTTCAACATTGATAATAATAAGAAATGTTTCTTAAACAGCAAATCAGCATATTAGAATAATGCCTGAAGGATCATGTGACAGTGAAGACGGAATGATGCTTTGCATCACAGGAATATATCGAAATGTAAAATATATTCAGAAAAATGTAAAAAAAACACAATAAAAATGTAATAATTATTCACAATATTCCTGTATTTACTGTATTTTTAATCAAATAAATGCAGTGTTAAATTTATACTTTTCATGATATAGGAGTCAACGTGTGCTACATGAACTTTTAAAGTAACCTTTTTTATAATAATGGTAAAAAATGAGCAGTAGTTTTTTGTTGTTATTTTTAATAGTAGATAAGATGATAAGCCTATGCATACACAGACAGAAATAACCCGACGGCAAAGCAGTGTGAAAATGAATTGCAATTAAAATAACAGAACAAATTCAAGTGCTTATATTTTGTAGCAAATGTTCTATGTTTAGATCCACAAATTTCAGAACCATATCTGTCATTCTCTGTTTTTCTGTCTATAGCACATTGTGGTCCTGCGCCAGAGGTGCCACACGCAGCGGTAGCATGGGACAACAGCACTGCAGTGATCCACCGCTGTGTTAAAGGACACTACAGACACACAGGAAGTGACATTTCAATATGTGACATCACAGGAAATTGGCAGATTGCCACCTTGCATTGCAAAGGTACACATCCTCACTGTTCAGCACAATGGGAAACTGAACCACAGTCTCAGAAGTGTGTTTGCCAGCATAAAGTCTGGCCCAATTTGTATCTGATTTTGTGTGTTACAGAGTTGAAACTGACAATTAACGATCTGGTGGTGATTAATGAAAGATGTCTGCGCTGGAATGCAGAGAATGAGGGTTATAGGGAGAAATACACAGTGAGTATTCATTTATTAATGAAATCTAGCTATTTCTTTGCACAAGTTGTCTTCTTTAATCATAAATGAGCTTATGGATCTCATCACAGGTGACATTCGTTGGATTGCGAGACTTTGAGCAGCTGTTCAGTGACAGGAGGAAAAAGATATTCAGCTCCTCTGCCCTGTGGCCTGTTCTCTGTTTGAATCTCTTGCCTGCCACAAACTATTCTATAACCATTACAGCCGAGTCCACGCGAGCCACGTCTACAGTTACAGCAAACACTAGCATACCAGGTACAAAACAAAAGCTGCTTTCATCCTTGCACCAAAAACGTCAGTATTTACAATTCATTTTTACTTGTGAAATGTAACATTTCTGACCGAAACAGGAAAATCAGTGAAAAATATTCAGTGCAGGTCAAGTTTATCAAGATATAATGCTTTGTTTCAGTCTATATTGTTGTTGCTTATATGTAACTTACGCATTACATTAACTGCCATTAAAGGGATAGTTCACCCAAAAATGAAAATTTGATGTTTATCTGCTTACCCCCAGGGCATTTTCATTTTTGGGTGAACTATCCCTTTAAATTACTTAAATGACTTTTTTTTAGAAAGGTTGCATTATAGACCTGCCTAATGAAATGCCTATCAGTGTTCATTTTACAAAAACATACATGTTTTTATTTTTAATATTTTTTTTATTTCATAATTTTATTCATTTTTTATTTCATTTTATTATGTTTTAACATGTCTATATTTTATCTCAGTTATCTGAATACGTCAAGTTAAAATTAAACAGAAATGTTCATAAACAACACTTGCATTAAAACAGTTGGGTTTATGAGTGCTTTGCATGGCGCTTACTGATTTCCAAAACAATAACACTATTGATTTATGTACTGTCTGCTTGTATAGTGACTTGTACATTGTGTTTCTTGTGCTCTTTTAGTTCCCCCCACCCCAGATATCAAATATAGTGAGGTAGAGGCTTCATCGCCCACTCTGAAATTACGGAAATCCACCAACACACTTGACTCAATATGGTAAGGACGTTTAACATCTCTTTACATAAACTGTTAATGCCATCTGAGTACATGATTTACAGTGAGACCAGACTGAAAATGCTTCTATTTTCAATCTATTTTCTATTTGATCCCTGCTGCATATGCCGAATATATCAACTATTTGTAGATAATTCTGTATTCAGTTGCTGTGAATGATTTTTGTGTGTGTGTCTGCGTGTTCAGTATGTACCAGGTGTTTGTGATACCAGTCGAGGGCGTGATGCTGTTTGACTGCAGCTCGTCTGTAAGTCCGCGGTTCCTCGCGCAGCAGAGATGTGACGGAGGCTACGTTACGGCCCAGATACAACTCGGTGGTCTGGCCGCAGAAATCAACTTCACCATAGGGGATCAGCAGCTGTATGGAGACTTCTTCAACGCCCCTCTGGAAAATGGAAAAGACTATTATGTCATCCTCCGCACTGTGTGTCAGTGGGGAAAGGTGGGTAGATGTCTTTAAAAGACCTGTAAAATGAGTGCATTTAATACTTTTTTGATAGGTTCTCTAAGTTCTCTTTCTGTGTTTTATTTGGTAGTCTAGAACACAGTCCTGTGTGATCTGGGCTAAAGCCAGAGGTAAAGATTATAAATCTATCACTGCGTTATGCCACCTGAAAATTGTAAAAACAACAACAACGTGAAGTGGTTTGATATAAACCATTTCTCTTCTCACTTTAGGAACATCCTTCATCATGAAGATATCTGCTCTTGTAACTGTTGGATCCATAAGTGCTGTTGGCTCACTCATTGTCATGGGATACTGGTACAGCTGGTGAGACTGCATTGTGTTTTATTTTTTATTAATTGACAGGATGAAAATGTTGTGCTTTATGTCTTGTTAGCACTTTCAAATTATTTTCTTTTTTCCCCCACAGGTACTGTAAAAAGTCAAGTCCCAGATTTTTTTCTGCGCCAATCTTAACATCTTACACGGATTGATTTGTTCTGAAATAAAGCCAATCTGTTTATAAATCTGAGGAGTCAAGTTGTGTCATTATTCAGAAGCATCCTGCAATAGTATTACTGAATTTAGGACTATATTTTATTATAATGAAAACAACTAAAACACTCGAGGAAAAAAAAAAGTAAAGTACAAATAAATCAAGAAAAATAAAAAATGAAAATTACAGCTGTAAGCAGCATTCATCATGATCCAAGCATCAATAATCTGTCCTTTAGATGGCAGTGCACTACCACTATTCTTCAGTATGACAATGAAATGGTATGTCTGGAATATTAAAATATTAGTAAATGCTTTCAATTGTTAAATGCATAAAACAGCAGTATGCACACATCTCTTCATTAGATACAGGCTACTGATTTTCATGATACCATAAATTAAATTATACAATTATATTTCGCCACAGTAACAATAATTATCATAAAAATTTAATATGGAGTCTTAATTGTGGTTAATAGTGCTATTTTAGCATCATTAAGATACTTTCATAGTTTTATTAATATTTAGAATCTAATTTTTATATTTACTTTTTTGTTAAATTAATTTTTGTTCAGGTTTATTTTTATTTTTTTTTGTCATTTTTATTAGGTTATTTTATTTATTTATTTGTATGTATACAGGTTTTATTCATTTTTATTTCAGTGGGAAATAAAAATGTGAAATGTTGCCAATACTAGCTGCTGAAGTAAAATAAGTTTTTTTTTTTTTATATATATATTTTATTTCAATTTACGTTTTTTTTTTTTTAAAGTAACACATTTGGTTATGGTTTCACTTTTAGTCAACCGCAATAACCCTGGCTAATGGTGGCGGTTTTACTATGGTAAATATAGGCCTGGTATTTTGGTGGAAACTGGGATGAATTTCATAATGGAAAGTTTTTTCTTAGCAAAATTAAAATAAATAAAATGCTTAAATAATAAATAAAAATCAATCAATAAAATAGCAGTTCAAATGATGAAACAAATGTTAAATTCAATTTATTTTCATTATTTGATGAATTAATGAGGTGGGCGTGGTCGTCGCGTAGCTTCAGACAGCCTGTCAATCACTGAGAGAGCGCGCGTGTGTATTGTCTACCCTCAGACAGATTTACTTTAGATTTGTTAGTTATGTCCAGTTTTAAGTGCAAAACTGACCGGTTTAACTCTGTTGTCTAGTATGAATTAAATGAGTTTTAATTACTCTATCGCTCGTCATTTCAACAGAACCGATATTTCACGATATATTCAGCGCGATCGCTTAAGTATCGAATTGACAGGCCACATCAAAACCAGACCATTGTAAAATTTTACACAATTCCGTTTAACTGAGGGGGAAAATGTGTACTTTTTCTTGAAACTGCACTCCAATCGCGTGAAGATTATTCCACAACAAGATGTAGTTGATATCTTGTAAATTCTTAGATTTTTTGTTCATTTTTTAAGCTCCTTTGATGTGATTTCAACATGAATTCCTGTGGTCAAACCCAGCAAAGTGCCAGTTTCTTGACTGTCGGGTATAAGGGTATTGATTACATCTCTGAGGTGAGTTCCCACCACTCATCTATATAGAGAACATTATAGATTATATAGATAAGTGGTTCCCACACTGATTTCCATTAATGTATTCTGAACAATATTTTAGGTTTTACAACATTATTGAGAAGTGTTTTTAAATATAAAACGACATTAACATTATACATGCACTTTCATACAAATGCAAATATTGAACATTATACAATTATGCATGCATACAAAATAAAACAGAAAAAAGGAAAAAAAATTGGCAGTGTGTTAGTAGTATAAAAACTAGAATAAGGGTTCAATCCGATATAAAAATATCAAATAAATACGTTGTAAAGCTCACAAACTTTTAAATATTGAGATGTCATCTGTTTCAGGCCTCAGTCAGACACAGAATGATGATTGGCTTGTTAGAACTTCCAGTTCCGTTCCAGCTGGTCAGTAACATCTACCCACACAATGGACACCTGCAGGACAACGCTTATAGAGTACCATGGAGTAAGTGTGCCATGTTTGTGTTTAATTGAATATGAAATAAGTTGCTTTCATTGTATTGACGAGCGGCTTTGGTTTTAAAGTAAGGTCCTGTAGATATCTGTGTTGCTAACTAAGCCCTGGAGACTTTTTGTGATATTCAAAGATATCATAACAACGTTGACTTGTGTCATTTTTGACAGAGAACAAAACATCAGTTTGTACTCTACAAGTGACTGGGTCTGTAATGGATGATTTGAAGGCCAGCACACGTTTCAGTGACTGTTTGGAGAGGTTTGAACCGTTTCTGTAATGTCCTTTGTTACGATCGATCTCCGTTTATTTTGTATTTGTGTCTGCAGATTAAATCCCTCCTGAAGATTACATTTCTCTCAGTTGTGTTTAAATGAAAAGTCCTTCCAAAATTGAAAATTTGGTGAAAATGTATCCACCCTCAGGCCATCCAAGATGTAGATGAGTTTGTTTCTTCATCATGAAAAGATTCTGAAAAAGTTAGCATTACATGACTTGCTGGATCCTCTGCAGTGAATAGGTGCCGTCAGAATGAGAGTCCAAACAGCTGATAAAAACATCACGATAATTCACAAGTAATCCACACCACTCCAGTCCATCATAATCCATAAAAACGCTTCCTTTAGTGAAAAAGTCCATACAATGTTGTGGTCTCCCATCAAAATCCACCAACATATCTCTGTAGAACTCTTTTCACTTGTAAACAGTTCTTGATCTGTGCCTATTCCTCTCCTGATTCCGATGAGATAAATTTTTCACTGGAGAAAGTTTTGTTATGGATAGAGGACTCGTATTTTAGCTCGGAAGCAATGGGTTGAAGTTTTTATGAGCTGTTTGGACCCTCACCCATTCACTGCCATTGGTGAGTAAGTGATTTACTGCTAAATTTCTCCAAATCTGTTCTGATGGAGAAACAAACTCATCTATATCTTGGATTTCTTGGGGGTAAGTACGTTTTCAGCAAATCTTAATTTTTTTGTGAACTGTTCCTTTAAATGTAGGTTCTTCATATTGGACTGTGTTGTGTTTAGGTTTAATGTGTTGCAGACAGGAAGAGGTCAAGAGGAAGTGGTTCCCAGCTCTAACCCTGCCTCTCAGTGCAGTATTTCTACCACAGAAGCCCTCTGGCTCCTAGATGGAGTTGAGAGCAGTACCACCAGGTCACCTTGGGAAGAGAGTTTTAGTCCATGTTCACCAGATACATGCTGTGATGGTGAGAACTGGAGTATTCAGTATTATTTTGTTTATATTTTTTTGTGTAATTTCTGTATTTATTATACTGTATCACTAGATTTCTGGCTGTGATATTGTACTAAAAAGGGTAGATGTGTGCTAAAAATGCCTAAAATCATACAGCTTGCTTTCAAAGGGATTTCAAAGAGTTCTTTATATGTTCTTGGACCACAGAAGTATGAATTTTACCTTATGATGCATTCATAATGGAAAATCTAGATGTTAATCAGTCCTTTCCTTGTCTCCTAAATCTTAGATATTTCTCTGCCAGAGGAGGTGATATTCAGTGACCATCTGCAGCAGTTCAAAAGCCACCTACCTCCTTTTCAAAGGATGCTTCAGAGGCTGAACATCATGATTGTCTCGGATCCAGTTCTCAATTCATCAGTAAATCTCTTAGAAGAGGTTATTTTTAGGTACAACATAGAGCATAACATTAGGGATTAGGCATAAAAAAAATCTTCAGAATCATTCACTCATGTGAAAGTTGACTGAGAATTGAACAAATAGATGTAACCTGACTCAGAGGAAGATAGAAACCATGCCTATCCTGTGTACTATCTGTCATCTGATGCACTGAAATTATATTTTCAACTCACCCGTATTTCCTCCTCCTAGACACTGTGCTTCATATGATGCAGTTTTAGACAAGGTAACAGGTGCCACGTTTACTTTAAATGCTACAGAAGAGTTCAAAAAAGAAGCAGTGCTGAATGAAGAGGTAATCTTCAAAACGAAATCATGTTAAAGTAAATGTCTCTCTTGGTTGTGCTATTTGCAGCTAATGAAATAGTTTTGTATATTTTAAATACAGCTATGATTTCTTAACAGTCTCTGATGTTGCCTGTTGAAGTTCATATGAACTGCTTTCCAAGACAAGAGCCTAATTATTCCTTTGCACAAATGCAAGATTTTCTAAATGTCACCCGTGAACCAATAGAAGAATGTTTCCCTTTAAAAGATCTCAAAGAAGGTAAAACTTGACATATATACGTAGCAAAAAATATGCAATGCCCCCAAAGAGTATTTGGACACTTAAAAATGTCTGAATGTTATTTGCATTAGATAAATAAATATCAAAGCAAAGGTGTTTATTTTAAAGAAGAAAGAACAAGTATAAGCTAATCATTTGAATGAAAAAATTAATACATTTGTTAGGTTTTAAATAATGAAGCAATTGATGCACAAACACCAATAAATAGCTCAAAAGTGCAAATGCCATTTGCTTTTATATTTTGTTATCTAATGCAGTTACAATCAGACAGTGTGACTTTTTGGTGCCATTATAGTTTGTATAAAAGTCAATAATAATTATATTTCAATTATAATAGTCACCACTGCTGATAAACACACAGCTGAGTTGGAGGTCCTGGAAATGCCTGAAAGCTGCTTTGCTAACATCACCTTCAAGGAGCCACAATCTCCAGGTATGGGAAATTGTTTTTCATATTTAATCACAATCAAATAGTGGTTCCTGCTGTAGATTACTTTTCTAATCTCCATTGACTTCAAAACCTTTCATTCCAGTTGCTTCGAGGTCTTATGCTGAGATGGAATTAGACCTGCTTCTTTCACCATCTAGTCATACGCTGTGTCTACCAGACCTGTGTATGTCCAGCAGACTGTCAGCTGAGATTCTGTCACCAGTTTATAAGCAGTGAGTTTGTTGTTTTTGTTATAACAGGGAGAGAAGGCTGTAAATATTTGGTGCATTCAAAATGGTGGAATGGGTGGTTGATTGCGATTTTTTAACGTTAGTGTGTAATGTTGCTGTTTGAGCATAAACAATATCTGCAAAGTTACAACACTGAAAAGTCCATGCAAACAGAGGTATCTCTTTTAATGTCTTTTAAAATTATGGCAGTTTAATGCCTACAAAAACGGCTCGTAGGGACTACAACGAGTTACTTCTGGGGTTTGTGACGTCACAACCCCAGATAAACCCCGCCCTCGGGAAAAGGCAGCAAAGGGGGCGAGGCCATGTTGTGCTGCTTTAGAGAAGAGGAAGAGAAAACTAGGGGTGCACGTAAAAATCTATTCATATATGAATCGCAATTCTGTGCAACTTCTAACGATTCTAATGGATTCACAAGTTTCAAAATCAATGTTCTAAAGCAGCGGTTCTCAATCCTGTTCCTCGCGTCGCCCTGCTCTGCATCTCTCTCTCTCTCTTATCTCGTTCAGATCATCAGCTCAGCTCCAACAATGAACTGTTCCATTTATAAACTTCTTTTCAGAAAGCTATGAGAAGCGTTATACATGGACGCGTGTGCGATTGCCGTACTGTATTAAAGCTTTAATCAGGATAAAACTATATTAAAAGCTAACAGAAGTAGTAGCATTTACAAATAACAGCGTATATAAAAGTATGAGACAACAACAAACAAAAAACATACCATTAAGAGCCATGGTTGCACAGGTTCTGCGCGATCCTCTTCACTAATATTCTCTGCTTCTCAATCGGGCTCCAATTGATAAGCAATATAGACGACGCCATTGTTTACAATACCGGAGCACATGCCACTGAGGTGAGGGGCGGGTCGATTAGACGCGCACTAGTGGCGGTTCAGCCAATCACAGCACACTGGACCAGCTAACCAATCTGAGCCCATTACATATTTCTGAGGGAGGGGCTTCCTAAAAGCAGGAAATGATCAGCGCGTTTATAGGAGAAGGGACAGAGCGGTGTGGAATAAAGGTAAATTATGTGAACTTTATAAAAACAGGAACTCATCGGAGCATTCAAAGGGGAAGGGACTTTATTCAACATATTTGTAGAATAAAGGTAAATTATGTGAAAATAATAAGTTTTTTTTTTAAACGAAGCATTAACACATGTTAGACTGCACCCCATAAACACAATCAAGCCTAGAGAAAAACCAGTCAACCACACCTTTAAGACATCTAGTACAGGCTTGTTGTCACTTGTACATTTGTTTTCATTCTTTGAGTCAACATGAAATGGCATTTACAACCAATTTTCTTCTTTGATACAGATACAGTGTGTGCCATTGTAAAAACTGTAAATCTATTCCTCACAACTTCGTTTTCGTCCATGTTAAATTCAATATGGTGTCTAACCTGATTAAGGTCTATAAAGTAAATAGGCTCAATTTTATTTTCATGTTGACTTAAGGATCAATGAAAACGCCGCTCATAATAATAAAATATATGATAAAGTAAATAATATGTAATGTACTTTTCCTAGGCATTTCATGTCAGACAGTGATTGTGAAAATATGGAAAAAGCTGTTTGGATGGCAGAGAAACATCCCCATTGTGTGGCTCGATTTTTACTTGCTGGTAATGTGTAGAAAATAATGTGAGAAACTTGGTGTGCATCCATAGAAGTGTGTTTATTTACTAAAAACATTCACACAAATATTCCTATCTTGGCCATTTTGTTCTTTAGTCAAGTATTAATGGCTAGACAAAAGTTTTTTTTTATTTTTTTTAGAGCCCTTAAACGCCATTGTGTTTTTGTACAGAACCACAGGTAGCTAAGCCATTGGTCCACATTCAGTCACTCCCAGAGCTTCTTACACTCCTGAAGGTGGAGATGGAACAGGATGCAGAACCCAAAGACAATATGGGCCAGTTTCACCTCACTGGCAGTACAGTGATGCTTCCTGAAAACGTCTTCAGAAATCTCTCCATCTATACTGAGAAAATGTCCACAGAAGACTGTAAGAGAGCTGTGAGAAAGCCACATGTGGATGAAACATTCTCACCACTGTCTATTGTGAAAATAGATGGTAAGACAGAATGCAATAATACTTTTTTTTTTTATATATATATTTTATTTATGGTTTTAAGATTTTGTTAGAATGAAATACTACTCTTAAGTTCTGTATACTAATGTTGTGTTTTTACAGAGTTGCTGAGTAAGTGTGCTTCAAATGCAGGTGAGCTTTTTAAGTTTCTCTCATCATTTCATTCAGATACAACCTAAATATATATTTTCCAGTCATGATTGTTTGCTAAATAAGGCAGACACTGTTATTGCTCATACCTGAAGTTTGAACAAACAAAATTGGAAAATGGAAAGTCTAGAAATGCTGTTGTGTTAACTGTTAACCATAGAGGAATATCATTTAAGTAAGGTTACTTCTCTGATGGCAAAACTGAATTTTGATGAGCATAAGAGACTTCTATCAAAAACATTAAAAAAAAATCCAAACAAACAAAAGCATTGTTCCAAAAGCATTGCAGTGTTAACTAGAGCCCGACCGATATATCGTTTTGCCGATATTATCAGCCGATATGTGCCTGTTGCCAATATATCGGTATCGGCGAATATGCCGCCGATATGAACATTTTTTTTACATTTAGCCCCCGGGGTTCGGGAGTTACGGGTGGTTAAATTCACAGTCCGGCGCCGACCGATCAAGCGATCCCGGGGGGCTACCGACGCACGGAGGGTGGCGTTCGAGAGGGCTCCTCGAGCTGAAGGGATCCCCCGAATTTGGTGGAGATCCGCCGGCACGTTCGCGAGATAGTGACACCAGTCAACACTTTCACTTCAGTAAGGACTTGTTCAGGCAGCAGCATTCAAGCATTGTCTTATTCGACCGTAAGTGCCCTGCGAAGTGGGGCGTTACATTCAACACAACACTCTAATCTACACGTTACATTCAAAGGGCATTAAAGTGCGCGAGACGTGAATTTATATTGTATTTATTTACAGAGGTATATTATGTCACACTTCACACTTCTCTAGTAAGTTTTGTCTGTGTGTGAAGACAGTAGCGCAAATCCATGAATGAATGTTTCGAAGTGAAATAAACTTTAACGGAATAAAGTTGAATGGAATTTAATTGAATTAAAGTTGAATAAACTTCAACTTTACTGTTCAGTGCACTGATGTCAGACTCATTTCGGATAATAAAGTTTATTGTTAAATGCCCTGCGTCCATTACGTATCTCTGTCATGTCATTATAATTGTTTGATCACCACATTTGAGTGATCATTGCAAAAAATGTTTATGTATATATATTCTGTTTATGTATATACTGTATTCTATATATAGTACCAGTCAAATGTGTGGACACACGAATGGGAAAGTGTCCAAACTTTTGACTGGTACTGTACAATAATATACACAAAGAATATCGGCCGATATATCGATATCGGCCTTTTTTACCCCCTAATATCGGTATCGGTATCGGCCCCAAAAAACCCATATCGGTCAGGCTCTAGTGTTAACTTGATTTTAGTGTGAGTAAATCACTTACTAACCTTTTTTTGTGTAAATATGTATATATAGAGAAAAAGAAAACAACAACTTTTCAGCTCAAATAATACAATATAAGTTTCAATATAAGTGCTGTTTATTGAGCACAACTTGTACCAAACATGGACTATTCCTTTAATCTTTGTGGGGGAAAAAAGAGCCATATATAAATGTTATTTTGGTTTCTCAGCACTGCCACCTTCAGGTCGTCCCACTGCAGTTCACCTTTCCCAGAGTAAACCACTGCAGTCAGCTGTACCTACACAGGTGGATAGAGGTACGACTGTGAAGTTCTTTATAATGGAGTCTCACCAACAAGACAGTTCTACAATGACAACAACCAGAGGAGACTGTAAAGCTGCAGAGATAAAACAACACAAGTCTAGTCCAGCAGAAAGATGCTCTGGGAATTCTTCCATAAGTCCTTCAGAACAGCAACCCATCCTCTCTAAAGTGATTGAGATTTCTAAGTCTTCTCCACTGAAGCCCAGTGTTAAATATATTGAAGTGATATCCAATATACAAACACTTCCTAAGCAGTCAGAACAGAGAAGAGAAGATATGATCTCTAAATCATCTCCATTATCCAACTGTTTGAGAGGCAGAAAGAGAAATAATTCTGTAGTTCTCTCTCATGAAGACCTGAACCCTTTGTCGTCTTTTCTGACATTAAGAACAAAGTTGCAGAAAAAATGTCCAATGCAAAAACCTCAGCGGAGCAGTCCAACATCTGCAGGTAGAGTGAGAGAATTAATAGTGTTTATTGCAACTTTTCTTCCTTATTGTAACATATATCCAAGTGAAATGACTTTTGAGCAAAAAAAAATGTAGGTAGGAGCTTGATTTTGTCCATCGGGATTTCATGTTGTAAGGAACAACAGAATGTTTGGAGGACCTTCCTGACATATTTTGTTGTTAGTTATACACTGACTGAAACATAAGTATCTTATTCCGTCTAATAGTTGAATTTCTTTCAGAGGTAAATGTGAGTCAGAATTCTACAGGAAAAGCCTTGCTAGAGAACAGAATAAAAACAGCGAATCACATCTCAGAAACACAAAGCAGTGTCATTGCTGCTGAGACGAGCTTTCCCCGTGAAGAGAAACAAGAGGCCATCAGCAAGACTGTATACGTCCACGCCACAGGTATCATCATTGCCTTCAGATCTTCAATATTGTATAAAAATGATTGTAAGCACAAAATACATGTTTTTTTGTTCATTCATAATCATTTATTTGTTTGGTTTGAGTAATGAATCGCCATATTTCTGTATTTATTCCTGTAGAGTGTCAAAGAGATGCATATAGGGAGCTGCAGGCGTTGGCTCTGCCCTCTCTGAGTAAAATGCAGGAGCTGGGCATCTCTGCTTTGAACAACAGAGACTTTGGTACTCTGTCTTCTGAACTCACAAGATTCCTCGTAAAGCAGCAAGAGAGAATGCTTCGGACAGAACAGAGTCAGAGGAGACACCTTCTCACACATTATAACTAACAATGCACAGAACAATGTGAAATAGCCAAAGATCATTACATGATGGTTTTTGCAGAGAAACGTTTTGTGTTATTTTTGTGGCAGATGGGAACAGTGGGCTTAATGAAATGACACTTCTACATATTCTGGTCACGCTGAAGGAACATGTTCTTCTCACATGTGACCTCAGCACAGCCACTGGTAAATATCTGAGAAAAAACACTCATGTCTCATAGAAAATGGTCTTAATATTGCTGAGAGGAAAATTATTATTTTTTTTAATAATCAAAAAGCATGTCTAATCAAATGAGTTCATGAAACTGTTTTGAGTTTCTTTGCCCAATAGGGCCCTATGAAATGTTTTTTTTTTTTTCTGCATTGTCTGTTGTAATTTTTCTGGATTTATGATTCAGTACAAAATCATGATCAAAAACAGTGGCAATCAAATGAAGGCATAAAACATCAATTTAATCTTTTAAAATGTCATAAAATGAACTGGCAAACAAAGTACTGCACAACAGATATTTACTGTTTGAATTAAAACGGGGAAGAAAAATTGTGTAAAATTCCTTCAAACTTTTTAATAATAGTAATATTACTATTATTATTATTGGAAAAGTACTTTCTACCCTACCTTTTGCTTTATTAATATAAATTATGCCAAATTCTGTGACATTGCTGTCTGGCATAAACAGATCTCATTTGTGTTTTAATCCTTATAGTGTAGCTCACACGCCTGTAAAATCTTCCTTTGTTTAGATTACCTGGCTAATGTGAAGGATTCCTGTGCTCTGAGCTGTCTGGATGAGCTGTTGAGAAAGTTTGAGGTGCTGCATTATCTGAGTCAGAAGAGACAAGAACCCAATCCTAAACTTCTGGAGCTCCAGGAGCAAATCAACACATGGATGAATTCCCATTCTAACCACAACATTAAAGTGAGATTTACAGAGTTTAAACTAAATTATAACACAGCATTATGTAAAGTTGAACTTTATTTGCATATATACAGTACACTCACATGAACCAATATATACTATATAGCAAATCTCAGTGTAAAATATGTTATCGAATATAAGGCATGATATTATAAATATTAACATCATGATTCTGAAAGCTGAAAAATGTGTGTTGTAAAAAGCACTATAGAAATAAAATTTACTTGACTAAGCGTACTTTTCAAACAAAGCAGATTTTGCAGAATGTGAGTGTTTAATGATTGTTGTTGAATGTGAGCAGGTTCTAGTTTTGACAGTGAACCGTGTAAACACAGAGTTGCTTGTAGCTCTCAACCAGGCACGAGGTGAGTTAACTTTTCAAGAACCCTACAGATTTTATAAGACGGGTACTATGTGGTGATTGTCCTGTCTAATTCTGTGTGTGTGTGTGTGTTTAGGAAACTCTGTGTCTGAAGTCATCCCCAATGAAGGAAAGAGTAAAGTTGTGAGCAGAGAAGTGATGGACAGGTGTATAGATCTTCTTTTTTTTATTTCTAATACAGGAAGTCTGTATATGGTCTGATTTAATGTATTATCTATTGTCTGTCTCCTCTCTCCTCAGACTCTCCTGCAGTAGGTGTCTTGTTGTGTGCAGTCAGCACGTTGGTCCTGACTTCCCGTGGCAGAGTTTCAGCATGGTGTTTGAGCTTCAACCTGTGGGTCACTCACCCTTCGGCAGTGTGTGTTCAGAGAGAAACGTCAACTTTATCTCCTTCTCCACTGCAGTGCCTGAATCCAGTCAGTCCAACAAACCTAATGCTCACATGATATTGATGTTTAATTGACAGTTATGTGGAGCAGGTTTCAGGTTTAGTTCTCAACTTCACGCTGCAGAAATAGAATCCAAGTGTTTGGTAAAATGTCCTGTTGCTTGTTATGGCCGTGGGAACAAAAAATTAGCATGCAAGGTATATAGTTCATATATTTGAACAGCATTCAAACACAATGTTAAACATTTGCAAGTACATAGTGTATTTTGACTGATAAAATATCAAAATAAGGATGATTAGTTCAATGATAATCCTGTTTACTTTTCAGTGTTGGAATATTTTGCATTTTTGTGTTTGGTTATTTGAATCATTCATTTGCAGATTTCTCAGAAGAATCTATTTCTGCATCATATCTGGACACCATTCCATTTGTGTTGCTCGTCACTGATGGTTTACTGAGATGCTTAAAGATGCAACGCACACTGGAGACAATGTGAGTTACTCAATAGTTTCTGCCAACTACTTCGTCAGTTTTAAAAAGTAGGCAAAATTAGGTGGTTAGCGTGTGAAGTCTGACACATTGAGATGTGGAGCTTTTGCAATAGTAGAAATATATATATTTTGTATATTCTCTCTCTCTCTCTCTCTCTCTATATACCACAATTGCATGGTTCACCACCACTAAGCTTTGACAGCTCTTTTAGTCTTGATTTAAAATCTACAAACGGAAACATTTGATTGAGAATAGTTTGCAACAACGCTTATAAACGCAATGAGGCTGTAATAGTGGAATAGAAAGATGGTGAGTTTCCCTCGTTTAATGTGCACTTAAAACCTCTGTAGTCCCATATAGCCACATTTTAGCAACCACATTTAAAAAAATATCTCGAGTAGGGTATTACTGATGTGTTTTATGTCACTAAATAAATTGTGAAAATATGTTGGGCTGTTAAGCACAGACCTTATTTCAGGCATATAACCAAAAACCCATTCGGATACCTAATTGACTTTGGAACAGTGGAACTGGAAGTGGCCTAAATCAAGGAAACAAAATTGTTTCCTTGTTTTAGGACCCATTCTTGCAGCATTCTATTCTTGCATTCAAAACTATGTATATATAATGTATATACTTTAAAAAATAAAGGTCCCAAAGGGGTTTTTGCAGTGATGCCATAGAAGAACCATTTTTGGTTCACTTTTCAATGAACAGTTTTTAAATGATAGTTTTTTTTTTTAGCGTGAAGAACATTTTAAGCATCAAAAGAATCCTATTTTTCACTATATAGAACCTGTTGTGGAATGGAAAGATTCCACGGATGTTAAAGGTTTCATTTATTGTTAAGAGTGTATGCTGATGTACAAAAACTGTTGTTGGCAGGTACAATATGGTTCTGCTGGAGAGGAAACACTCTCCATCTGCACTGCAGCTGGGTGGAACCCATTATGATGTCATCACTGTGGACGAGAACACCGCCATCCTCATCCAGGTGACGCTCTATATACACACTTGCTCTACCATTCACAAAGTGACCCTGAACGTGTAAATCCTGTGTGTCTGTGTTCAGGAGCTGAGTGAGTTGGACATGAGGATTGGAGTGGCGTCTGAGCGTGTCGTCATGAGACTCACAGTCCTCTCTCTGCAGTTCAGCCACTGCTGGGTCATTCTGCACTGCACTGAGAACCACAGGGCACTGTCAGTTTGAAATACATTTACATCTGTCTGATCATGTTAACAATCACCCTGCATTATATTTGCTGGGTGAAATCCAATACTTGTTTTCTTAGTAATTCCAAAAATTGTCCTGTTTTGCTCTAGCACTTTATCGCAGTGTATGATGCATTTCATAGCATGTTTGCTTTTGGCAACCATTTGTAAATTGAAGACGTCTTGTATTATCCCATAAAATCCCATAATCCCATAAATTTGTTTTATTTCCTGTTTTTCCCCACTTTTAAGGATTTCCAGTAACATTTATATCAATCTGCTTCATATCTACTCTGCATCTGTGTTGTTTGGAAACAAGTCTGAGAAGTTTGATGTCAAGGTATTTTCTTACTCATTTATTTCAATTAACGATAACAGACCTCAAAACAAATGTCAGTGTTTTTAAAGGTTATGCCAAGGTCAGATGTAATATTTCCTGTTGAATGCTCTATTAAAAAGTATTTAGCATTCAAAGTCTGTGTACATTTTTAGATCATGGCATATGTATGTGTTTTAGGTGTTACTGGTGTGTGAGGAAGAAGAGATAGCCAGCTACATCTATAAGATCTCCTTACATACGCTGATGAACTCAGAGAGAGATGGATTGAGCTGGTTGGATAGAGACTGGCTCAGTGTGCAGCCCACAGAGGTACATGACAGGTCTAAAATGTTTCTAGCACCAAAAAAAAAAAAAAACTTTAAAATGTAAAGTGTTTGCAACCAAATGTTATATATATATATAATTCTTTTAAGTTAAAATATACCTAAGATTAAAAAAAATATTTAAAGAAAAGAACTGCAGTGTCTCTAATTTTTGTCAACCGTGACAGATATTAATTAAATACTTATAAAATCTGTTGATTTCATAGTCATTCTTCAGTCTGAATAAGTCACACAAAAACACACAAGCTCCCGTGTTTATTATTATTTTTTTTTTTAATTTGAGATATTTTTCTTCTTTGTCAAATCAAATATTTTTCAGTAACTCAAACTGTAAAGAAAAAAGTTTGAAATCTGTAGAAAATTCTCTTATTTTAAGTAGGTCCAAGCAGTTGCTAGTAACACCAGAAAAACTATTTTCTGTAGTTAATATGTGTGTGTTAAATGGAAAAATGTAAACAACTGTCTACCTCACCAGATTTTCTTCAGTAGATGGAGTTAAAAGTTTAATATTTTTCTGTGTTCAATTCAACTATGCATTAATGTGTGTTTGTTTTAGGCAGAGCATTGCCTTCTGCAGTTTCCCTGCATTAATCCTCTGGTTGCTCAACTGATGTTGAGAAGAGCTCCATCACTGCAGTGGCTGCTGGGAGCTTCTTTCTCTGAGCTGCAGGAAATGTTCCCACAGATCCCTCACAAAGTCATTAAGGTAGTACTAGTTTCACTAGTATTCAAGATCAAACTATCACAGGGTACACTGTTGGTTAATAAAGCTTGTTGACATGTTCACACTCTCTTTGTTTTTCCGCAGCTCTTTAGTGACATCACAGCTGAGTCCAATGTCAAAAAGAGTGAGACTACACACTTCTCAAACATAAACAGCCGAACTCACTCTCCCTTTTGGGAACAGGATCCTGTTAAACCACAGATACAGCTGGAGGATAAGATGCCGCCTAGCCAGTTTACAGAGCTGATTTGTCAGTCTTAGTGTTTTAAAGAAGACAAATTATTTGAACCTCTCAAACAGGATCCAAAATGAACACTCGCCAAGCACTAAATGTGAAAATAAAATAGCTTTGGTAATAATATATATATATATATGAAAAAAAAATCTAATTTATGACTACATTATAAACAATAACTTTTATTGTTGTGTGAATCCTGATACCATTCAAGTAATATGTAAGACTTTTAAAATACTTTTATTCAGCAAGGATATATTAAATTAAAAGATATTTATAATGTCATAAAAGATTTGTATTTCAAACAAATGCTGTTCTTTTTAACTTTTTATTCAAAGAATCCTAAGAGAAAAATACAACACTGCTTAATAATAATTTTAATAAGAACCATTATTAATAATTGAGTACCAATAATAATTGAGCCACAAATCAGCATATTAAAAGGATTTCTGTAGGGAGTAAGGATGCTGAAAATTAAGCTTTGTATCACAGGAATAAATTACATTTTAATATATAT